TTAGGAAGAACAGAAGCAGCAGACACCCAAATAAATATCACGTACCGGCAAACACTCAACATGGTGTTTGTAAAGGAATTCCTGCCTCACAAACCAACCAGATTTCTCTGTAGAGATCACGGATTACATGAAAAGGAGCACTCTGCTGAAAGAAAACTAGGAAACAAACTCCATACCAAAGGTTTCAAAGGACATCAAGCAAGTCTTCAGAGGAAAAAAAAAACAAAACAAAAAAAAACACCCCACACACCACAAACGAAAGAAGGCCCTTTGTATGAATATTTAACTCATCAAGAGACAGAATGATGAGAAGGACGATGAAGGCAGGCAGGAAGTAAATAATTGCTTGCTTTAATAGAGGGATATTACCAATGGAGTTTCACAGAAACCTGCATGGATTATTCTACGTAAGCATAAAGACGGAGGAGAGATAAGCAGGTAATAAAACGATGAAGATTTGCTGGTGATCCTAAGTTATTCAGGACAGTAACGATAAGATCTGACTACAGAATTGCAGAAACATCTTGCAACACTGACCAAGAAACAAAATGGCAGACAAAAAAATCGCTGCAGATTAAAGTGATACAGATGGGAAAATACCATCCTAGCTTCCTATATGAAAGCTAGGTCCTAGCTGACCATTACTCCTCAGCAGCAAGATCTTTTCATTACAATGCATACCTCCATGAAAACAGACTTGTTTATGATGAAAGGGACTTCCAGGATTATCCAGTCTAGCTCCCTACTCAAACCAGGTCCAGTTAGAGCGTGTTGCTCAGGGCCTCGTCCAGTTAGTTCTGAACATCTCCAAAACTGCAGATGCTGTAGGTGCTCTGCACACCCCATCCAGTGTTTGACCACCCTTACATTGGAAAAGCCTTTTCTTACATCTCATCAGACTTTCCCATGTTCCAACTTCTGTCCATTGCTTCTTGTCCTATCACCATACATGTCTGGGATCAGTCTGTCTCTGCCTTCTCCACACCTGCCCATTAGATAGATAGTTGCAGACTGCAGTAAACTCTGCCATTAGCCAGATGAAAAATCACTGCAGATTAAAGTGATACAGATGGGAAAGTACCATCCTAGCTTCCTGTATGAAAGCTAGGTCCTAGCTGACCATTACGCCTCTCTTCTTGAGGTGGAACAAACCCGCTTCCTTCAACCTCTCCTCTTATGTCATGTGGTCCACCATGTCAATGTTTTCCCCGGCACTGAGGAGCCCAGAACTGGACATAGTACTCCAGATGCTGTCTCACAAGTGCCAAACAGAAGGGAAGAATCATTTCTGCACCCTGCTGGTTACATTCCTGCTAACAACCCAGCGCGCAGCTGGCCATCATTGTTGACTCCTGTTCAACCCTTTGTCCACCAGGACCCCCATGTCTTTCCCCACACAGGTTCTCTGTAGACAGCTGATCCCAGCCTGTACTGTTGTGTGGTGTTATCCTGGCCCAGATGCAGGACTTGGTATTACTGCCTTTGTTGGACTTCACAAACTTCCTGTCAGATCATCTTTCTGGCCTGTCCCTCTCTCTAGCAGCCCTGGTCCTCCAGCATATCAGGCACTCCCCAACTTGCTGTAGGGGAGTTCACATGCCTGTTGAACATGCGGGCCCATCATCCCAACATTCACGTCATTAATAAAGATGTTAAACAATACTGGCCCCTGTATCAGTCCCTGAGGGACACCACTGGTAATTGACCAAAAAATACAGAGAAAAGGTCACTGATTATATACAGACCTCTAGCTTGATCCAGTATGGCTACTAAGTCATACCTTCAGTCTGAAAACTGCATCAGTGAGCTTTTCACATAAATGGGAAAACATCAGCGGTTAGTTCTTCTTTGTGGTCTAATACGTAAGTGCAGAAACTTCTGGAAAAACAGAATACCAGCAGAACATTATGTAACTTTATATAACTATATGACTTTCACTGAAATGGGAATTATTTTAGCTAGCTTCAGAGAATGCAAGGAAACAATACCATAGTAAAGAACAGGTTTGTTTTATCCAACTCAAGGCATGTACCACTGTTAACTTACGCAGAATCTAAGACTGACAATAACAAAATTCAGAAACGTTGATATTAGGGGCTTTTTATAGTGATTTAAGCTTTTATTTTGACTATAGCGGTCAAGCCAATTCCAACACCTCTGACAGCATCTCCTGTATCAAGAAAGTTGGAAAAACATGTTCAGTAACATGTGGGCACACAATCATTCTCCAAAGTGCCTATGACAAAATGGGCTTTCTGGAGGTTGAGCAGCTAGCTGTAATTGCACAGGTCTACAGTCAGGATGTCGGAGGATAGGTCACCTTCAACTACGAAAACTGACTTTGTTCTTTCAGGAACATACGCAGAGAGAGCTCAAAGCTCCCCCTCAGTGAACTTTTCCCAAGTACCCGACTGTGAAGGTTGACAAAATCCTATTCTGAAGTTTCTCAGAGTGCTTCCTTAGAACAGATCCAGACAGACAGACTCCTACAGCTAAGACACCCAACTGCTGCTAGACTAGCAAACAGGTACATAATGGCAGCTGAGGAAGTCGCTGGTGGAGCCACATCCTGCAAAGTGCTTTTTCCCCGTCTTTGCCTTTCCTCAACTGTTCAAATGACTTGTTATTAAATGAGTCAGCACTGACCACTTTAAACACCCTTCCTGACTTGTGTTGCCAAAAACTTTCCATAAAAAAGTAAAACCCAACGTAATTAGACTGGAAATAGGTAGCAGCAGTGAAGGAGATGTCTAGATTTCAAACAATGCTGTATTACTTACATGTGGAACACTGAACTAAAGACATCTAGCCAGGAGAACAGAATTCTACTTGTCCTAAAGAAAATTGTGGGGTGTAACCCCAAAAGACATATTTTCTGAACTGCATGCCACGTGCTTTGCACAATACTGTAGAATTATTCTCTTCACAGTACAGATATGTAGATAGTGAAAAAGAAGTGTTAGCAAACATGCTTAATGCTGTGGCTTAAATCTGCCATCTTCTTTTGTCACTTGTGGCACTATTAGAAAAGAGCCACACCAGGGTCTGAACAGCTCTAGAGAAAATGAAGACCTAGTTTAACTCTGTAAATAGCAAGTTTTAAAAACAAATTAATAAACATATCCAGTAATGACTTTAAGGGTTATTTCTCCTGCTGGCAGCAAATATACTCTGATACTATATAGTCTATAAGAAAAACCAAGCTGCAAAGTGCAATTAAAAAAAAAGCAAACAAAAATAACCCTTACATTTGCTGAGTAAGAGCAAGCAAACACACATCTACAGTATTACACATCAATTAGGACGAGTCAAACACATATCTACAGTATTACACATCAATTAGGACGATGTACTATACAGTACATGAATTTAAATAAGAATCAATGCAGCCTTTTTTTTTTTTTTGCTTAAAAAAAATAGATTTAGCTCCACAAGAGAGATTGAAACCGAGTTTGTCAGACAGGGCACCTTTTGTTTCCTCTTTGCTTAAAAGAAGTAGTGAAAAGCAGTAGCAACATTCTGACTATTTTTTTTCAGTAGTATACAAGTATCACATAGCACTTCTCAGCTTTTAACAAAAGGGTAAACTGTGAAGTTAACTTCACAGCAAGAACAAATCCCTTTGCAAGTGTATTTCGTACAAGCAGAAAAACAAAGTCCTGAGCATTACTGCTGATACATAGCTTATGCAGAATATAAAAACAAATTCTGAGATTAAGTACTGTATAAACACCCTTTCTGCATAAAGACCCAAAGAAAGCCAGCGAGACCTCTACTGAACAACTGAGATGAAAGAGTACAGACAGAACTGATAAACCAGTACAGAAAGTGGGGCATTTTAGCAGGCAAGTGCAGGGACCTACTGCTGATACCATCAGCAACTTCAGCCCGAATCTGAATGGAGCTCAGCGCTCACGCTTCAAGGGAACAAGCTTGTCTGAAGTCTGGAGCGCTTTACCAGGAAAATAGTAAGCTCTGAGTGTTCACGAGTGCTCAGACACCTTACACTGTACACAGGGGAAGTGAAAGATGCTTAGCACTTCTGGAAGACGCAGTCATAGGTTTTGTGGTCAATAAAAAATTATACATGACATATTACATGTGCAAAGAATCCACCGAGAAATAAGACCACTGTTCTTAAAGAGTATTCCAGAGGAATAAGAATGTGCACAACTCCACAGAAGTCTGTTAAAAGTCAGAATTTAACATATGCAATTAAATTCAGCCTTTGCAGTTGGAGGGATTTCTGTTTGCTCTTAAGCTTCCTAAAAGCGGTCTCCATATTTTACCTCTCTCAGTTGTTTCAGGAGTAGAAAATTCATTTATCTTTAATCACAATATCTTTAATTTTACTTTGCCCTGGAACAAGTGGTTTAATCCCTTCAATGGGCTTCTTAGAACTGACTGCGATTTCTTCAGAGAAAGACAAATTACCATGATAAGTACAGAAACACAATTACCCATCACAAACCCTTCCTGCAGCCCAGCTGTACAAACGCAAAACAGTTTGTTTCCATGTGGGCTATGATGGTACAAACATAATTTGACCTCACCAGGACTAGTTATTTTTGTATAGCTGTTACACATTGTTTAAAGATTTTGTACAGATAGGTTTTGACTTGCTAACTTTAATAATCAGTGCTCAAAGTACAAAAACGCTATGCAGCAAACACTGTGCTGTTTTCATACATTATTTTTCAAGAAAGAAAAATTTTATTGGGTATATCAAACGCCAAAGACCTTAAAAAAAAAAAAATATCACCAACACCGAAGTGGTTGGCATATAATTACGTAGCAGACCACTTGAAAGCCTGATCTTTATTTTTTTAAGCTCATTTAACACTGTGCGGGACACGTTAACAGGTCACCAAGACACAGTTTGCATATTATTTAACTTCTTAAAATTCGGGTGCGGCAAGAGCTCCAATCAATGCAACGCTCAGGCCAGACCGCGAAAACACAAAGCTTCGCCACGTTCCCTGGAAGCCGACCGCTCTCACCAGCGCCAAGCTGCGAGCAAAGGAGAACGCTCCCACGCGGAACACCATCAGGCGAGAGACTCGGCAAG